ACAATTCCCAAAACGTTTCTGGTACGTACTCCTTCGCTCCGTACATTCTCTCTTTTGCCCCCCCCCCCCATCTCTCTCTGTCTCCCTGCAACCCCTCTCCGACTCTCCCCCCCCTCTCTCTCTCTCTTATGCACACACATACACACACACACACACACACACACACACACACACACATGCGTTCTCTTTTTTGCACCGGTTACCACGTTCAAGTTTACAACATTGGAGGCCCCTATGATGACATTGACCGATATTTCCAATTACATAAAACTGAAACTATTTCATTCAACGTGCGTCTCCCCCCCCCCCCCCCCAATCCTCCTTTAAAATCTGACCCCTTACGCCCCTAGTATCCAGTTCGTTGTTCATGCTGTGACGTAATCCAGGCTCCTCTTGAGGTCTGCAGACTGCCGACGAAATCCGAAAAGAAAAAATTAAAATGTTAAAAGCCGCCATAAAACCAAGGGCTCGAAAAACCAAAGACACGAAGCGAAGCCTACACCTAAGATAAATAAACCAGCCGGCCAAATTTCAGTGAAGATAGTCAGATAGCCTATACTTTTTACCATTGTCACACTTACAAAAATACCCGGAAACATGCTTGATAACAGTGACGGTGCAAGTTTGAGAACTTGTTTAACTTTTCCCTCGTTATCTGGAAATAACAATTAAAGCCCGGGTGGGTGCTTTTCTCTGCAAGAACTTAAAACTGACAAATGAGACTTTAATTTAATGTATTTAAATCTTTATGTGGTCCATTTTTCTTGCTCGTTCATTAGCGGGTGGTTGACGTGTGCTCTTGTGTGGTTTTCTCCTTGCTAGGACCTAACAAACACCTATCGCCCTAATACCTCCTTTTTCCTTTGTATGTTACTCTGTAGTAACACCTCTACTCTTCGGCACTTATATTTATAATAAATATAGTGTATTTATGTTGCAAGTGTGGTAGAATTTTCAGAGAAATTTAACTACCCCCCCCCAAAAAAAAAAAAAACCCAACAAAAAACTCACAAATAACTGCAACAACAACATAAAAAACAACAAAAACCAAACCAAACAAACAACAACAACAACAACAACAACAACAACAAACAAACAAACAAACCAAAAACCCAACCTGGATCGTCGTATGGATCGTTTTTTGTTTGTCAAGTACAGGTTGAAGCGTCTACATAAGCAAATAATCACTGCTTCGTCCCTCCTAACTCTGGGAACATCGTTGCAGTCTAATTCACCCATGGACTGAGATAGACGTTAGCCTTTACGAAACCATCTATGAGCAGTGTGCATTCCTCTAGAAACTGTTACATTGCCACTTAAAATAAATAAATATCCTGTTCACCTCCTTTCGGGGTACTCACGTAAGCAGTCCCAAGCACTGATCTTTAAGCTCAGAAATAAATAGGAAGAGTCTACCAAAAAAGCCTAAATGAACTTCTATACGCAGACGACCAATGTCTTATTCATCCAAACCAACAAAGTCTCCAAAATCACATTATCGAACTGAACAACAGCTGCCAGAAATTTAACATGCAATTAAGCACATCAAAAACAAGTTATGAAAGCGAGCCGAAACCTTAGTCCCCTAGACACCCATCTCAATACATGTAGTAAACAACTGAAACATGTGAAGGAGTTTAAATATCTTGGCAGTACTTTTTCTGAAAACGGGTCCATAGATATAGAGAAATAGAAATGCGAATTCAAAACGCCAACGCTGTCACCTACCAGCTCGCACCCCTCCTTTCTCATCCAAACATCTCCATGGACACAAAGAAACAGCTTGTCAGCTCAATGTTCATACCAGCATTATGGTACCAGTGCCAGACCTGGACATTAAGTAAAACCCATGAAAGCAAAATCACTGCATTCGAAACAAAATGTCTCTGCAAAATCCTTAACATCACAAGACGAGACAGGCAGAGAAATGAAGATATAAGAGCAGCTATCAGTACTGAGTTCTGCCTGCATTACATGGAAAGACAGAGAATAAAATGGTTTGGCCACCAGTTACGTATGTCTCCTGGCTAGCCAGCCTCTATAGCCTACAACACCAAGCACTCGAGCTATAAAGGAAGAGGAAGGTCACGCAAAAGGTGGATCTCGAGGGTGTCAAGGAAACACTGGGAAAACACGATCTCACTACTGAAAGAGCTGCAGAGCTGGCCTGCCATAGAAAACTGCATCTCCCCTCGACGCTTAAGGGGAATCAAATTTGTGACAGTTCTTCATGGGTTGATTGTCTTTAGAAATGTTGAAAGATTGACACCA